ATGGTGCCAGGCCTGGGACGCCTCCCAGGAGAAAGCCAATAGGCCTGCCCTCAAGGAGGTCCTGGTCACAGGGACCACAGGCCAGGCAGCTCCTATACCCTGCCCCCCCCACTATCCCCCCTCTCCCAAGAACAATGCAGACCAGAGGGGCGCCACAGTTGGGGGGGGGGGCATCCCGGGTCCCCCAGAACTGACGGCTGAACAGGAGTCAGCCGGAGGAGAGGGGGCAGGAGGCCTTGTCAATCACTTATTCGCCCATCCATCCATTCATTCAGCGCGTGTTCACCTGGGCTCTGTGCTGGTCATGGAGTAGAAGACTCCCCTCCTGTGGCCCCGGCCGGGGACCTCAGCTGGTTAGCGCTCAGTCCCCATATGCCAAGGTTGCAGGTTCGACCCCCAGCCAGGGTACATGCAAGAAGCAAAGAATGAATGCATCAATAAGTGGAACAACACATCGAGGTTTTTCTCTCTCTCTCTCTCCCTCCCTCTCTCTCTCACTAATCTATAAATAAATAAATAAGATTTTAAAAATATATTTTATTGCCGAAACCGGTGTGGCTCAGTGGTAGAGCGTCAGTCTGCGGACTGAAAGGTCCAGGGTTCGATTCCGGTTAAGGGCATGTACCTTGGTTGCGAGTACATCCCCAGTAGGGGTTGTGCAGGAGGCAGCTGATGGATGATTCTCTCTCATCGATGTTTCTAACTCTCTATCTCTCTCTCTTCCTCTCTGTAAAAAAAATCAATAAAATATATTTTAAAAAATATTTTATTGATTTTTGACAGAGGAAGGGAGAGGGACAGAGTCAGAAATATCGATCAGCTGCCTCCTGCACACCTGCTACTGGGGATAAGCCCACAACCAAGGTACATGCCCTTGACCGGAACCGAACCCGGGACCCTTCAATCCAAAGGCCGATGCCCTGTCCACTGAGCCAACCCAGTCAGGGCAGAAAAAAAATTAAAAATATAGAAACAAAATAAATAAATAAAATATAGAAAGACAATAAAATAAAATAAAATAAAGTAAAGCTGCCCCTGGGAACTGGGGGGAGGGAGCATGCCCAGATTGAGATTGGGCTGTGGGGGCCGATAAAGAATCAGGAGGCACCTAGAAGGATCTTTGGAGGGGGGAGGTTATGCCGAGCTGGGGATGCGCCAGAACCGGGCGGGGAGCAGGGACGGTGGCAGGCCGTCCTGCGGGGCTTCCTGTTGACCGAGGCTGGTCATTTGGGGAGAGATGTGATCCCCGCCTCCCTCCCATGGCCCGTGAGAACCGGAGAGCAGTGGCGGCTGCGAGGTGACAGCCGCACCTGTGCGGGAGGTGTTATTCCTGGAGACACAACAGAACCCGAGAAACCGAGCCCAGGCTCCTCCCAGGGGCCGCTCTCCCTCCCTTCCGAAGTCCACCTGGCTCTGCGGGACACGATCCTCTCCCCGCCCGCTTCCCACGCCCGCACCCCACCCCCTTAAGTCCCTTCCCTTCCCAGATATCCGCGTCTAATCCCTAAGCCCTTTCTCACCCATCTCCGGTTGTCTCCGGGGCCCCAATCCCTTTAGGACGAGGTGGCCCAGTTCCCCGTGAGCACAGAGGCGGGGGGCGGGGAGCTGGGGCTTCCCCCGGGGGTTGGGAGCCTGGGGGGCTGGGGCCTGGGGGGCTGGGTGGAGGCGGGCCAAGGGACTGAGAAGAACAGATCGGTGTTTGCGACATAGTCATGGGATGTAGTGGACAGCATAGCACCTTGGTGGGCAAACTGCGGCTCGCGAGCCACCTGCGGCTCTCTGGCCCCTTGAGTGTGGCTCTTCCACTAAATACCGCGGCCTGGGCGAGACTATGTTGAAGAAGTGGCGTTAGAAGTGTAAGTTTAAAAAATGTGGCTCTCCAAAGAAATGTCCGTCGTACCGTTGATATTTGGCTCTGCGGACTGATGAGTCTGCCGTAGGAAATACAGTGAGTAGCATTGTAATGGTTGTGTACAGCGTCAGGCGGGCACTGTAAATAAATATCATTGGGGGAGGGGCGCAGAACGCTTTGTAAAGTCTAGCCACTGCGCTGGACACCTGAAACCAATGCAAAGCAATATTGACTGTAAACTGTCATAGAAACAAAATAAAAAAATATAAAAGAACTCCCCCCCCTTGCCAAAACCAGTGTGGCTCTGTGGTTAGAGCGTTGGCCTGCGGACTGAAAGGTCCCAGGTTCGATTCCTGCCAAGGGCATATACCTTGGTTGCGGGCACATCCCCAGTAGCAGGCGTGCAGGAGGCAGCTGATCCATGTTTCCCTATCATGGATGTTTTAAACTCTCTATCCCTCTCTCTTCCTCTCTGTAAAACATCAATAAAATATATTTTTAAAAAAAAGATAAAAGATATCCCCCGAGGGTTAGGGCGGGGAGGGGAGAGGAGGGACGAAGGGGAGGGACTGGAGCCCTGCCCCAGCTCTGACACCAGCTGGCTCAAGCCCTCTGTCAGGAAGTGTGGGGTCCTTTTTACCCCAACTCCCTGCATTCAAGATAGAATCCAGATTTATTTTTTTAAAAATATTTTCGTGTTGATTTCAGAGAGAGGAAGGGAGAGGGAAAGATAGAAACATCCACGATGAGAGAGAATCATGGAGCAGCTGCCTCCGGCACGGCCCCCCGCCTGCGGAATCAATCCATTTCCTCCTGGTTCATCGCTGGATGGATGCTCATCCTCTGAGCCAGGCCGGCCAGGCTAGGGTTTCTTGAAGACAATTTGTTCTATGTCCAGGGCTCATGGCCGCAGTGAAGGGGGTCTCTGGGGCCTCCAAGGTTCTGTAATACAGCCCCCTAGCCGGGAACATTGCTGTGAGTCAGGCTCTGCTCCCTCAGGCCTCTGTAAATACAAACAGCAGAGACCGGCGCCAGCCCCAATGTGGCCCCGTCCCCGTGGACTAGCCTGCCACCTGGTGGCCACTTACGTGCATGGGCCCCTGGCTTCTCAGGAGGCCAGGGTTGAAGCTCTCCATTTCCCTGCCCTCATCCCCCTGCCAGCGCCACGGTCCATGGGCTCTTGTCTGTTGAGCACAGCTGGGTACCACCCGGAAGAGCCCATCTCGTGCCCAGGGAATCCACGGCCCCCTCACACCCCCTGTTCCTGGCATTGAGTCTAAACCATTCCATCGCCCCTACTCTGTTCCCATTTGGGGTAACATACCCCTCGCCTCGCCCTTCCGTTAACAGTTTCATTTCTTTCTAGGTCCTCCTTCAGGAGAGAGGGGGGCAGAGGGGACCTCCAAAGGAGCCTGGACTCCAAGACCCCAGCATGTCTCTGGAGAGGGCCCTCCCCTAAATCTGTGAGGCTCCCACTTCACCGGTGACACAGGCCAGGCAAAGGGAATTGGCTGGCCCAGAGGTACATGGTGGGGGTGGCAGCCCTGTCCCCCCACCCTCACCCCGGCCAGCTCCCCGCCAGGCCTCGGAGGCAAAGCAGTCTGGGAGGGACCCGGGGCTTGGCTCCTCTGGCTGAGCATTCTGTCTGTCCATCTGGGGACTTGATGGTATTACGATATCCATGGTGAGAAAGACAGATACCATATGATTTCACTTACATGTGAAATAAAAAATAAAAAATAAAAAAATAAATGGACAAACAAAACAGAAACAAACTCAGAGATACAGAGTGCAAACTGATGTCTGCCAGATGGGAGGCAGGCGGGGGGATGGGTGGAAAAGTTGGAAGAGATGAAGAAGCACAAATTGCCGGTTTTAGAAATAGTCATGAGCCCTGGCCGGGTGGCTCAGGGGATAGAGCATCAGCCTGTGGACTGATTGCCCACAATTGCTCTCCCTCCAGGTTCGATTCTGGCCAAGGGCACATGCCTGGGTTATGGGCTCAATTCCCAGTGTGGGGTGTGCAGGAGGCAGATTCTCTCTCATCATTGATGTTTCTATCTCTCTCTCCTTCTCCCTTCTTCTCTGAAATCCATAAAGAAATATATATATATTTTTAAAACAGTTACGGGCCCTGGCCGGGTGGCTCAGTTGATCGGAGCATGGTCCCATGCACCAAAAGGTTGCGGGTGTTGACGGACAGTTTTTCATTTTACTGTTAATGACTTTTTTTTTCCAGTCTTTTTCTTTACAATCTGCTTCTCCGGATTAAGAAGTCTCTCCTGTTCTTCAAGGAATCAAGATATTCTCCTATGTTTCTTTGTACAAATGTTTAAGACTTTTCACATCTAGGTCTCTAATCCACCTGAACTTGATATCTTGTGTGCGATATGCAGTTGGGCTCCCAAGTTCGCTTCCAGTCAAGGGCATGTATCCTGCCTCCCATGCCAATCTCAGGTTCTCCACCTCCTGGAGTTTGGTCTGGGGAGGGAGGGGGGCGGAGATAGGGGCGCAGGGAAGAGAGGGATACCATCTGACCCAGGCCCCACGGCGGGCCATCCATCAGGCCACGGTGGGACCTCCATCCTCCGGGACCTAGACATCCCTCCTTCCTACCCTCCTCCAGCCCTGATCAGTCTCCGCTCCCCCCCAACCGCCCCTCCCCTCCTCTCCCAACACACACAGGTCACCCCTTCCAACCATCTCTCTTGCTTCCCTCTGTCTTAGCTAAGCTTCTTGACAATCCAACAGGCTGTGAGCGCCTCCTCCCTGGCCTCCCGCTCCTGCTACGGCGACCATGTCTCCCAGGCCACCTGCGCCAGCGTTCTCCGCGGCCGCCAGGGGGCGCCCGAGCCGCCGAGAGGCCAGCCCTCTCCCTGGCCCCGCCCCGTCCGACGCCTCGCCCAGCCACACCTAGGCCACGCCCCTCCAGACGCTCGCCCCGCCCCGTATGGCACCGGCCCCGCCCCTCCAGACGTTCGCCCCGCCCCGTCTGGCATTGGCCACGCCCCCTCTGGGTACTCGTCTGTCTCCGGCCACGCCCCCTCCAGACGCTCGCCCCGCCCCGGCGGCCGAGGCCTCGCTCGCTCCGCTGCCCCAGCGACCAGGGCCCCGGCGCCCCGGTCTCCGCTGTTTGCCGGGTCCCGCCATGGAGCCCGCCGCCCGCCGCTCGCGGAGGCGGCCGCCGCCGCCGCCCCCTCAGTCGTCGCCGCCGCTGCTGGTGCTGCTGATGCCGCTGCTGCCGCTGGTGCCGATCTGGCTGGGCCTGGCCGGGCCGGGCGCCGCGGCCGACCCCGCGGGCCAGGCAAGGGCCCGCGCTGTGCGGGTGGACGTGCGGCTGCAGCAGCAGGACGACCTGGTCATGGAGGGCTTCTCGCTGGGCCCCGAGGACGACCCGGAGACCCCGCTGCGCGGCCGGCTGCTGCTGGTGAGCGCCGCCCCGCCGGCCACCTGGCCCGGCCTCCTCCTTGGGACGCGGACAGCCCCCCTCCCCCGCGCCCAGATCCGGCCTCCGCCCTGAACGGCGGCCCGGCGCCCCCTCCCAGCCCACCCAGGCCCCCAGCATCCCGGCTTCTAAAGCCTGGGATCCAGATGCCTTCCTTCCCTTGCACACTCGGTCCCACGCCCCGGCCTGGCATCCTCCTCGGTGCGCCAGACCTTCCTCCTAACGGCCTCTCCTCCCCCCGCCCGCGGCCCGCTGCCCCGCAGATGGACAACGTGGGTGCCGATGAGGAGGGGCTGGGGGAAGACTGGATCGCGGTGGTCTACGTGGGCGAGGAGCACGCGGCCCCGCTCCCGCCGGAGGCCCAGCGCCACGGCCTGTGGAACTACCCCAGGAACCTGATGTATCAGGTGCCCGGGTGGATGTGGGGGAGGGCGCGGGAGGAGGGGGCTCGGAGGCACTTGCTTAGAGCCAGACCGCCAAGAGGGACCCCAAGGAGCTTCCAGAAAAAACCCCTAGGGACCCGGGTTTGGAGAATGGAGTCAGTGTGGTGTAGAAACAGGTGTGTGTGGGGGAGAGGGGGAGGTGGGGGGGTTCAGAATGAGTCAGGACGCCCCCCAGGCTCTGAGAATATCCCATGGGGGCTTCCTGAGGCGGGTGGAGGAGGGCAAGCCTGCCCTGCTGGGACTGGGGAGGGCACAGCATGTCTGGATCTCACAGAGCATGCTGGGGCCGCGGGGGGGGGGGGCGGTGAAGGGGGAGAGGCAGGACGCATAAGGGTGTCTGCACTTGACCTCAAGGAGCGAGCTCCGGAGGAAAGGATGCCTCCTCCGGAGCCAGGAGCTGAGCGTGGGCAGGGGGTCTCTGGGCGTGGGCCAGCCTCGTCTCTGTCCTGCAGATCCGGAGGGCGTTCCTCCTGGGGGCCTCCACCCTGCTCTTCATCATCCTGAAACAGAACGTGGTCCGGGAGGTACACCGGAGGCGGCTTTGGGGCGCTCGGGCTGGGCTGGGGTGGGGTGGGGTGGGGCTGGGGGACCAAGGCCACCCTGTGCCCCCACAGGTGGACATAGCCCAGCTTCTGTTCAGGCCCATCGTGGTCCTGCATTATTCCTCCAACGCCACCAAGATGCTGGACGCCCTGCTCCAGTGAGTCGGGGTTTGAGCTCCAAGCCGGAGGCCGGGTGTTGAGGATCCCGGCTTGGCCATGGGCTCGGGGCGGGGAGGGGGGAAAGGGGTGTCTTGGGGACAGGGCCTTTCCTATGATCTAGAAGAGGAGACCCGCAGGAGGGGCCAGGGCCTGCAGCGAGGAGGCCGCGCTGTGGGTGGCGGGCACTGGCTCCCGCCAGGAGGAAGCCGGGGATCTGATGGGCCGCCCGGGCCTGGCTGGTGTGAGACCTGGGGAGACCTATCGCTGGGGAAGGCCCGGGCCGAAGCAGAAGGGCTGCAGAATGATAACGGGGATGATGGGGGCGGGGGGGGGGCTCGCCTCCCCAGAGCCCTCTGTCCAGCTCCTCGGCGTGGCTTCCCCCACAGGAAGACCCAGGCCACGGCTGAGATCACGAGTCGGGTGTCCCTGTCGGCCAACACCGAGTGGAAGCTGGCCCTGTGGACCACCTGCGGCCTGTCCAAGGACGGCCAGGGCGGCTGGCAGGACCTGGTGTGCCCGGGAGGGGGCCGGGCCTCGGAGCAGGTGCAAGCAGGGAGGGGGAGGGGTGGAAGGGAGGGCAGGGGAGAGGAGGGAAGGGTAGGGGAAGGGAGGGGAGGGCAGGGGAGAGGGGGAAGGGGAGGGGAAGGAGAGGGGAGGAGGAAGGAGAGGGGAGGGGAGGGAGTGGAGGGGAGGGCAGGGCAGGGGAGGAGAATGGAGGAGAAGGGAGGGGGGAAGGAGAGGGGAGGGGGAAAGGAGAGAGGAGGGGAGGGGAGGGGAGGACTGGGCCGCACACAGGCTGAGTCTCCTGGAGGCCGGGCCAGCCTAGCTCAGTGTGGCAGGGGCACTGCCGGAGGGAGTGGAGAGAGGCCAGAGGCCGTCACTGCAGGTGAGCGCTGAGCTGTCCGGGCACAGAGACGGCACCGAGCTTCGCTGAGGCGTGTGGGGAGCTCCTGGAGCAGGTGCCACCACCCACCAGGACTGAGGGGATGACGGGGGACACAGAACGGGGGGGGGGGGGCAGGACAGCGAGGGACTGGGACTCACAGTGCCCCCCCCCCCCAGTGCCTCTGCCCTGAACAAAAGCAACGTCTCACGACTCTGGCAGCACCAGTCTGTCCAGAGCGCGGCCTCTTGTAACCACAGCAACTCCTCGGCCCCGCCCCCGAGGTGGGCAGACTTCAGCCCTGGCTGGGGAAGAACATGGCGGCGAGAGCGCCTGAGAAGGCAGAGCTTTTCCATGACCGTGTTTATCATCGGTCCTCACCCACCCACAGGCCCTGAGACGGTGCCCGCTGGGGAGCAGGCTGGGCCTGGCCGCCTCACAGCACATGGTGGGGTTCAGGGCGTGAAGTCCCCCCAGGAACTCTGAGCGCCCCCACCCCGGAGCCGCTCAGGGACTCAGTGAGGCGCTTCGTAGGGCTTCCTCCCTCCGAGGGGCAGCAGTAAGGAAGCGCAGGTGCAGGGTGGGGGTGCGGAGAGCTGGGCCGGCGAGTGAGGGGGAGCACCGGCCCAGCCTGCTGGTCAGGCAGAGCTTCCGGAGCAAGGGGCGTCCGGACAGCAGCCAGGGGAGGGCAGGGAGGAAGGGAGTCCCCAGAGGGGCGCGGTGTGTGAAGGCACAAGAGGAGGAAAGGAGCGAGGGACCCTCCAGAGGGAGGGGCTGGGAGTTGGGGGCCTGAGGCAGGCTGAGGGGGTTGGGTTTCTCATGGGGGAGGGGTGTCCAGGAGGAAGGGGGGCCACAGCAATGGGTCAGCTGCTCAGGAGGTGCCTGGGCAGGGGCTGGGGGCAGAGGGGCCCTCATGTGTAGGACGGAGCAGCCAGCCGGCAGGTGGAGGTGCCGGGAGAGGGAGCGGGTGCTGAGGGACCTCCCTGCCTGGTCCTGGGGTGGGTTTGCGGGGGGGAGGGCAGGGCCCGTGTCGCTGACACCGCTCCCTCCCCAGAGGCCCCTGCAGCAGCTGTGGAACGCCGTCCTGCTGGTGTCCTTGATCCTGGGCACCGGCCTGGTGGTGCAGGTCCAGCGGCATGCGATCTGGCCCAACCAGCAGGAGCCCGAAGGCCAGGTGGGAGCCAGCCCAGGGTGGCCGGGCCCTAGCCCCCAGCCCTCGGCCCTCTCAACGGCCATGTCCTCTCGTCCCCCAGCCCCTCCGCCAGGTGGGCCCACGTCCTCTCCTCCCCCGGCCCCCCCGCCAGGTGGAGCTGCTCAAGCGCCGTGTGGTGCGCAGGCTGGCCTCCCTCAAGACGCGGCGCTGCCGGCTGGGCAGGGCGGCCCAGGGCCCCCCGGAGCCGGACGCCGACACCTGCGCCGTGTGCCTGGACTACTTCTGCAACAAGCAGGTGAGGGCCCTGCAGAGGCCGGCCACCGGCCCACCCGACCCCCGCAGAACCACCCCACCCGCACGCCGAAAGCAGGATGGGGGTGGCAGGCCGCTGGGGTTTCCAGGTTCCCGGGCGGGCCGGCTGGCCGGCGTGAGGACCCGGGGCCAGGCAGCCCCTGGAGGCCTGCAGCCGTGGCCTGAGCCCCTCCCCTCCTCCCCTCTCCCACAGTGGCTGCGGGTGTTGCCCTGCAAGCACGAGTTCCACCGGGACTGCGTGGACCGCTGGCTGATGCTGCGGCAGACCTGCCCGCTGTGCAAGTTCAACGTCCTGGGTGAGCGCCACGGGCGGGCGGGGCCCTTGGCCGGCCCGCCTGGTCCCGCCTGACGCCGCCCTCCCTGCTCTCTCCCTCCTCCTCCCCCCGCAGGGAACCGCTACCCAGAGTATTAGCTGCCCCAGCTGGCGATCCGCACGGGGAGATGGGACGCCCCCACCTGCGCTCTGGCCCTCGGCCTGGGCTCTTGGGATAGGATGGCAGGACAGGACAGGAAACCCTGACGGAGGGAGGAAAGATGGGGCCTTCTCTGCTGAGCAAGGCACCCCACCAATCCACAGCCCCCCGGCTGACGGTGCGGAGCCCAGTCCTGCTGGGAAGCGAGGAAGAGGCCCCTTGGGGGCCTGTGTGTGCAATCCTGGGCGTCTGCCTTCTCTGCAGGCAGTCCGCCAGGACGCCCCGAGGCCGAGGCTGCAGTGGCCACTTTTGTGCTTATTTATTGTGGGGGGGAGGGGGGTGCGGTCTGGCCTCGAGGCGCCCTGGCCAGACCATCTTTCAGGACACTGGTTAAGGTTGGGACGTGAGACCCAGAGCCAAGGGCTCAGGCCGTCCAGCGGGCCCCTCCTGCCCGGGAGGCCAGGGACCGGGGAAGCCCCGGCTAAATGTGGTGCATCTTCCAGGGGCATCCATTGTTTTAAAGACTGGGGGCAGGGGCGGTGGCTTAACATTAAAATAAACACGGATGTATTTTAACGTAAGAAATAAAACGTGTGTGGATGTTTTAAGGTTAAAAAAACAAGCCTTGGGCCCTCCTGCCCAGCCCTGCAATTAGGCCGTGAATGGCCTTGACTCGGCGATGAAGTGTCCCCGAGAGGGACAGCAGGTGGGCTTCCCCCGGCCCCGTGAGGGATGCTTTGCTGTGGACTTGGAGACAGAGGGGCCCTGTGGCAAGGAGGGCTGGGCCTCTGAGCCTGCGCAGCCCAGCGGCAGCCATCGGCCTGGAACCAGGCCTCGGGGCCAGTACTCTGCCAGGACAGAGGAGCCCAGATGCTTCCCCGGAGCCGTCAGACGGAACGCAGCCCGGCAGGTACTTTGATTTCAGCTTCTTAAGAGCCTGCCCCACCGGCCGGGACGTGTGAACACAGAGCTGGGAGCTGAGGATGCTGAGCGGCTGGCTGTGCCTTCCTTCCCCGCACTGGGGCCCAGGCTCCGGCTGCAGGGAGCCCGGCCTCCCGCAGGGACCCGGGTGCATGGCGGCAGCTGGACAGACCCCGCTGTGCCAGTTCAGCTACCCACACGGCCCCTGAGCACTCTTCTCTGTAACCGGGGTGCCCGCCTGCGGCCTCCTCACCGGGGACGGTGTCAGAAGCTGGGAGTGCGCACCCCCAGGCCTCAGCAGAGTCTCGGCCTGTCCCTCACAGTGTGGCTCGGGGCAGCTGGAGGCCCCCGAGGTAACCGGACGGCAATGGGCTGGCCTGGCGGGTGGCGCGGTGCCGGGCCGCCGGGGTCAGGCCAGGGAGAGCCGGGGCTGGCGGGGTGCCGATCTGGCTGGGCCGGGGCCCTGCCCTGCTTTCAGGCCTCCTGGGGATCCAATCTCCCGGATCCAGAGGAACCTTTGTGGCTTACATTTCCTGAGGGGACTCCGCAGAGAAAGGAGTCTTGAATGTCCTCAGGGCCGGGCTGAGGGAAGGTGCCGTCGCCCCCTGCAGGGACCCCAGCCTCAGGCTCCTTTCTCAGCTCACGTGTCTCCCTCGCTCCCACATCGGACCCACCTCCAGCTGCTCTCCCCGCTGCACACCCTTCCACTGACCCCGCCCTTCGCTGGGGTGTTACCAAGCCCCTTCGGCCCTAGCTATGGGAATCAAATGGCTGCCTGTCACCTGGCCCACATGCTAGGAGCTTCTCTCTGACCTCAGTGTGCCCTCTTCTCCCTCTGCCGTCAGGAGCCCCCATTTTTCTGAGGCCCAAGGCGTGCCAGGCCTCTGCAGGCGATGATCTCGGTGGCTGGGCCTCGTGGTCCCTGCCCAGGACGGGGTGGGCAGGCTCTGCCCGGGCTCGGACGGCGCTGGGAGCCCGGTCGCTGTGGGTGGTGGCCAGGCTTTATTATGTTGGGTGGGTTGTCAGCTGCCTGCCCTCTAGCCCCACCCACCGCAGGCTACATGGGCGGCTCCCGGAGCTGGTGGGCAGAGCCGGCTGGCCCCCGGCTTGGTGACAGTCTCCTCCTGAGCCGGGCCAAGACCTGGATGGGGTTCTGGGCACAGGTGGTCGAGTAGGTCACGTCCTCCAGGGAGGACTTGCTGGATCGGCCGCCGGACTGCGAGGACGGTGATGCCCGGTGCTGGCCCGGCAGGATCTTGCCCGCGCTGGCTGCCCTGCTGCCAGGGGAGTGCCACCTGCCCAGAGGCCTGAGGGGGACCAGACGGCAGGAGCCCCCGTGAGCAGGAGGGACCGGCCCGCCCGTCAGCCCCTCCTCCTCTGGCCAAGCCTCACTCACCGAGGGGACGCCCTCTGGGCCGGGGCGGGGGCTGCTGCCCCCTGGACTCCCTGGCTGGGCCGGGCCCAGAGCTGGTCCTGCGGGATCAGCTGCAAAGAGAGCCAGCCGAGCTCAGAACGACCCAGGCCCCTCCTGTTCAGAGGGTGGCACAGCCAGAGGGCGGGGGGGGGGGGGGGCGGCCTGTGCCCATGGCCCTTCCTCTCAGGGGCGGGGCTTGGGGAGCCTCCAGGTTTGCTTTCCCATGAGGCTCCTGAGTGCCCTTCCTATGTCCTAAAACCGTACTATGCAAATAGACCTAACGGCGGAACTACTGTCGCTGTGACCGGCACTGACCACCAGAGGGCAGATGCTCGACGCAGGAGGTGCCCCGGGTGGTCAGTGCGCTCCCACAGGGGGAGGGCCGCTCAGCCTGAAGCCGGGCTCACAGTTGACAAGCACAGCGGCGGTGGCCAGAGCCTCTCCCGCCTCCACTGCAGGCAGGCCGCAAGGAGCGAGGGGTCCTGGGCTGTGAGAGGGTGCAGCCCAGGCTGAGGGGCCCCCCATACATCCCCCCCGCCCCCTCCCAGTGCACGAACCTCATGCACCAGGACTCTAGCGAGAGAAAGCAGGGCCGGAGGGGCGGACATGGAGCCAGAAGGCAGCGACATCCCCATCTTAACCCGTCCGGGAAGTTCCCAGCAGTGGCCGACCCCCCCGGAGCCGGCTCTCAGCTGAGGGCCCAGGCTGCCCACCTTGAGCGCCCCCTGCTGGGCCACCTCCCGGATCTTGGACAGCATGGCCTGGAGCCGCCCGTTCTCCTTCTGCAGGACCTGGATGCGGATGTCGTTGGCCTGCACCTGCCTCTCCATGTCGTCCATGACGTTGCCGGAGCCTGCAGGGACAGGTTACCCAGGCCCTCGCCCGCCAGGTCTGCCTCTGGTGCCCAGCAGGACAGGGCCTCGGAGACAGGCATGGTGGGTGGCCCAGTAGGCACAGGGGAGCCGGGCAGGGTCGTGCACGGGCCTCCCATCCTCCTCCCTCTCCCGAGGCCTGGCCTCCCTCCCCGCTCCATCCCCACTGGAGACATTATAGAACCAGAGCTGGGTGAAGACCTAGCAAACTGACAAGCCTGTGTCTGGAAGGCCAGAGAGACGGCACACTGCCCACAGCGACGCGGCCGCTCCTGGGCACGAGCCAGGAACTCGGCGAGGACTCGCTTTCCCTCCCTCGGGGGGGGTCATGCTTCCGTGGGGCTGAAATGACCGGGGCGAGGCCCTGCCCTCTGGTTCTGGGTTTGCAGCGGCCGCTCCCTGCCTGGCAGGGACGCGGAGAGGTCCGCGCTCGGGATGACGGCTCCTTCAGGCCAGTTAGACTGCCCGGATCTCCCCGGGGCTCTGTGACTGGACCCGCCCGTGGGGCTGAGAGGGAGGGCTGTGGGGGCCAGCCCAGGACCCAGGTCCTCTGCTGAAACGGCTCCCTAGCACTCCCGGCCATGGGGTCCGGGACCCCTGGACGGTGGGGTGTGCCCTGGAGCAGGCTGCATGGTGTGGTCTGGGAGGTGCCCGGACAGGGGCCCGGGGACGGCCAGCGAGGACTGGCAGTGGCATGTGGTGATGGGCAGTCCACACAGGCAGGCAGCCAGACCTGACTGAGGATGCGCCTCTGGCTTCACGTCCCCGTCCACACAAGCTGGGGCGTTGCAGACCCCCGGGTTCCGCCGCCCTGGGTCCCCGCGTGCCCCGGGCACCACCCCCGGGGGACGGGGGGCCCTTACTTTGGCCCTGGGTCTCGGCGGGCCTGTGCAGGTCCGGGAAGGCCACCAGCAGCCGCTCCCGCTCTCTCAGCGCCTCGAGCTCCCGCTCCAGCCCCGAGACGGTCACCTGCAGGTCCGTGGCCGCCTGCTCCAGGCCCTGCTTCTCCCCGTGCAGGCTCTGCAGCAGCTCCTGGGGCAGGGGGAGGCTCGGACCTGGCTCCCCCGGGGACACCTGGACGTGGGACGGGCCTGCGGGCACCCAGCTCCCTGGGGGCTCCTCCCCCTCCCCCTCCCCCTCCCCCTGCCCGCGCCCACCTGCTGGGCCTGGAGCTGGCACTGCCCCTGCTCCTGCTCGCTCTGCGCGCTCCGCAGCTGCTCCTCCAGGTGGGCCCGGTGGGCCTCGGCCTCGGCCAGGCCGCCCTGCAGCTCCTCGCGCTCCTGGTCCAGGCTGTCCAGCTGCTGCAGCAGCGCCCGCTGCTTGGCCTGCAGGGACTGGGCCGGGATGGGCGGGCGGGGAGGCCGTGAGGCCCATGGGGCTCGGCTGAGCCATGTGGGACTAGGGAGGCGACAGCGTCTGTGACCTCTGCCCCCAACCCTCCCTTCTGAACCCAGCCAGTCAGTCTGTTGGGGGGGGGGGGGAGGGAGGGAGTGGGGCTGTGCACACAAGGGGTTAGAGGGTCACCATTCCCCCAGTGCCTGGCCAGGGGAGGCGCAGATCCTTCATAGAGGTGAGTCAACCCAAAACCTGTGTGTGTGTGTGTGGGGGGGGGGGGGGCAGACACCTTACACAGCCCCCCCCCCCCCAGTGGAGCCCTCTCCCGGAAGCCCACAATGCAGGCACCCAGGGCGCTGGCCTCACCTCCTGGTGGCGGACCATGCTGTCCACGCGGGCCTTCTCCTTGTCCAGCTCGGTGCCGGCCCAGCGGATCTGCTGGCTGGCCCCGTCCAGC